TGGTGGGGAGAAGAGTGCAACAATGAATGAATGGAATTCCAAAATCTCTGTAGATGTTCACTGAAATTAAAAAAATAAAAATTAAAAAAAAAAAAAGGAAAACCCTCAAGGAAATGGATTGACACAGTGACTGCAACAATAGGCTTGATTGTGTCAGAGATGAAGATGGTGCATGATGGGACAGGGTTCAGATGTGTTGTTCATAGGGTTGCTGTGAGTCATACTCCACTTGAGGGCACATAACAGGAACAACAAATGGGACTAAGATCCCTTTGGCTATATTTACAGTGTAACAGACTGAGTGGCCAACAATTAGAGAATGGTTCTTGGAACTACAAATTTATTTAAATGAATAAATACATTTTCTAAATGAAAAAAAAACCCAACCCTACACTCCCAAGGATTAACTTTGTTATGTATATTTGACTTTAGCAGTATGTACATATTTTATTTAATTATAAATAAGCAATTATATATAATATACCGCTATGAACACAGAACTCTTGTACAGCTCCATTTTTCACGTTCAGTGGAAATGGGAAGACTGAGACATGAACAGTTCTTGGATCATTCTTTCCAAGAAATAAGTCAAAGTGTGCTGACTGTGAGGTCAGGAAATGACAGTGCGTGCTGCCTGGGAAACCGAACTGCAGGACTTACCTCAACCTTGCTCTCTGGTCCATGATCAGCAGCAGAGAAATACACAACCTCCTGGACTTCATCCCTGGGCCGGGCTGAGTTTTTCCCAAATACCACCAGACCGTCCTTGGCACGCGGTGGGAAGGCCACAAAACAGTAACTCGGAGGAGCTACAGCCATCCTGAAAAAAGAATTGCAGTGACAGAATGGAAGAAGGCCAAATGTGGAGCCCTTCCAATCACAACTTCTTCAAACATATTTCACCAGCTAAAATGGGTTTAGTACTGAACTATGTGCAGCCGGCTCATTAGTGGATCCCAGCTGGCAAGTGAAGGTGGGGTGCCTGGAAGAGAACTACAGAGCCACCCAGACCAGATATTGTTTAGGGCTCTGTGGGATTAAACGAGCTCAGATTTGCAACAAACCGCAGCGGCAGCCAAAAGTGCAATGACGTAGGAGAGAGGAAAGATGGTTATTGTTGCAGGCATAAAACACACACTGCAATCTGTCACGGAGAAAGAAAAATAAACACATATACTGTACACAACAGTGCATTATCCAGGGCCTTGGAACTACAGGTTCATGGCTGCCACAGAATGGATTTTGGAATGGTAATGGGGAAACAGGGGATCCTGGCGGTGTCATGACTAATCATTTGGCTACTAACTGAAAAGTGAGCGGTTCAAACCATCACTAGCTGCTTTGTGGGAGGAAAGACCTTGGAATCTATTTCTCAAAAATTTACCGCTTGGGAGATAACACATGGAGTTGCTATGAGTTGGAATCAACTCAACAGAACACAACAATGAGGAAACAGATCTAAACTGAAAGATACTGCTTTTTCACTCTATTTTTACTCTGTCTCAGTGGTATAGCACTCAAGTTCCCCTTACTCCCCCCACCTCTCTCTCTAGGTGCTCCTGGGCTTACATGTTCTTGTCTACCTGGTTATTAACAATTCTTCCTGTCTCATCTTTCTTTCTTCATTCTCTCCTGGAGACATCTTTGGGTGATGCAAATAGTTAACTCACCAAGCTGTTAACCCAAAAATTGGAGGTTCAAATCCACTGAGAAGCACTTTGGAAGAAAGACCTGGCAATTTACTTCTATAGAATTATCCATTAAGAATTCTATGGAGTACAGGTCTACACTGGGGTCACTAAATTGAAATTAACTCAGTGGCAACTTGCTACTCTGGGGAAATGAATCCAAACTCAGAGTTTCCTTTGTCATTTATGTGTTAATCAAAGACCCACTCACTAATCCTTATTCAGTTCCTTGATGAAGCTCTCTCTCAACCAATATACCAAAATGCCTACATGACCACCAAGACAGATTTTGCCATCTTCCTCTCCAAACTAATTTTCTTTCCAACCATGTGCATCTCCATCACTGAACCTGTCACTCACTATATATATCTGGCTTCTGATATCTTTATTCACTTTTCTTCAATTCACATCTATTCCCACCACCCTTGACCAAGTCAATATCATCTCTAGCAGGGACCACGCAGGAGTCTTCTTAAGAGTTCAGCTCTTAAATTCCACTATTGCCACTCTAAAACTTTCACCATGTGGCAGTCAAAGTGATCTTTTTAAAAGGAAATTACGCTTAAGCCTCCTCACTGCTCTTATAACAAAGGCCAAAGTCTTAAAAATCTGGCCCATTTGACTGTGTTTAACTTGGGCCACCACAAGCTTGTATCCAGCCTCATCACACACTGCTGGTCCCTCCTCTCTCAGCTCCAGTGTGAAGACTTTTTTTCTGGTTCCTACAATACTCCCAGGACCTTTACTGTACCCTCTTCCCTAAGCATTCCTTTCCCCCATCCCACTACTAAACCAAAACCAACTGTCCAGTTAACTCCTGCTTGTCAACCTCTCAGCTGAAATGTCACTTTCATTTATGCTCAACATCAAGAAAACAAAGATTCTCGCCACTGGGCTGATTAGCAGCATTAAGATAAACCATAAGAGACTGAGATTGTTAACAGCTTTCGTTTGCTTGGCTCCACAATCAACACTTGGTACCAGGAGCCAGGAAATCAAAAGATGAATTGCGTTGGAAAAGTCTGCAGTCAGGGACCTCTCCAGAGTACTGAAGAGCTATGATGTCAGTCTGGAGACTAAGGTATGTCTTATCCAGGCCACAGTCTTCACAATTACTTGCTGTGCATCAGAGAGCTGGACAATGACTAGGGATGATAGAAAGATAATAGATGCTTTTGTGCTGTGGTGCCGGAGAAGTGTACTGAATATATTACAGACTGCCAGGGGAACAAACATGTTCATCCTAGAGAGGGTAAAACCAGGCTGCTTCTTGGAGATAAGGATTCTGAGGCTTCATCTGACACACTCTGGGCATGTTGCAAAGAGGAATGAGTCCTTGGAGAGAGACATCATGCTTGGAAGGGTGGAGGGACAGCACAAGGTAAAAAGACCCTCGATGAGATGGATGGATTCAGCGACTGGGGTGGTAAGGGTCATTGTGTCAGAGACAATAAGATTGGTACAGGACAGAGCAGGTTTCAGGACTGTTGTACATAAGGTCACTATGAGTGATATGAGACTCTACAGCACATAACAACAACAGCTATACATTCCTGGCTGCTGTTCCCAAGACTGTTGATTGTGGAGCCAAGGAAACTAAAGCTGTTAACAATCTCATCTCTTCATCGACTATCATAATGCTGTCAATCGGCCCAGTGGTGAGAATCTTTTGTTTTCTTCATGTTGAGCTTCAATCCATATTGAAGGCAATAGTCCCTGACCTTCTGTAGTAAGCACTTCAAGTCCTCCTCAGTTTCATCAAGCAGGGTTGTGTCATCTGCATAATGCAGGTTGTTGATGAGTCTTCCTCCAATCTTGATGCCACACTCCTCCTCATAGAGCCCAGCCTTCCAGATAATCTGTTCCGCATGCAGATGGAAAAGGTATTGAAACAGACTATGTCCCTGGCATACACCCTTGACGATTTTGAACCATGCAGTGTTTCCTTGCTTTGTTCTGATGACTGCCTCCTGGTCCAAGTTTAGGTTTCACATAAGCACAATCAAATGTTCTGGGATTCCTCAGAGATAGCCACAGTCTGTTATGACCTACACAGTCAAGTGTCTTTGCAGTCAATGAAACACAGATAGACATTCCTCTGATACTCTCTGCTTTCAGCCAAGATCCATCCAACATTAGCTATAATATCCCTATTACCACAGTCTCCACTAAATGCAACCTGCACATCTTACAGTTCTCTGCTAATGTGCTCTTCCAGTCGTTTTTTAATAATTTTCAGCAGAATCTTGCTTGCCTGTGATATCAGTGATACTGTTCAATAATTTCTGCACTCTGTTGGATCACCTTTCTTAAGAATGGGAACAGACACAGATCTCTTCTAGTCAGTTAGCCAACTGGCATCTGTTTGTTGAAATATGTCAATTGATTGGTATGCTACCAATTCCTGGGGCCTTGTTTTTTGACAAATTACACTGGGAAAGTCTGCTGTCAGGGACCTTTCCAGAGTACTGAACAGCAGTGATGTCAGTCTGGGGATGAAGGTGTGCCTGATCTAGGCCAGAGTCTTCACAATTACTTGCTATGTGTCAGAAAGCTGGACAACGACTAGGGATGTTAGAAAAAGAACTGATGTCTTTGAGCTGTGGTGCTGGAAAAGAATGCTGAATATACCATGGACTGCTATAAGAACAAACAGGTTCATCTTGGAGAGGGTGAAACCAGGCTGCTCCTTGGAGGCAAGGATTCTGAGGCTTTGTCTGACAAACTTTGGGCATGCTGCAAGGAGAGACCAATCCTTGGAGAGCGACATCATGCTTGGAAGAGTGAAGAGACAGCATAAGAGAGGAAGACCCTCAATGAGACAGATTGATTCAGTGACTAGGGTATGGGGGGTAGGTGTATCAGAGACAATAAGGTTGGCACAGGACAGAACAAGTTTCAGGACTATTGTAAACAGGGTCACTATGAGTTGCAAATGACTCAACAGCACATAAGAATTATACAATTCAGGGAGTTCTGGTGGCCTAGTGGCAAGAAGCTATGCTGCACTCCTTCAAGGCACATAGTTCGAGGCCACAAGCTGCTCCGCAAAAGGATAGGTTATCAGTACCCATGTGATCAACTGCCTCTGAAAACCCCCCACAGGGTCAGCTATGGGTCAGTTTCGACTTGATAGTACACAACAACTATACATTCACCTGAGGTCCTGTTCTTTTCCCATGTGTGATAATCACAATCAGAAGTATTTCTGTCATTCTTTCTTTGTACTAACAATCAACTTTTAGTTCCCTCCTCTCCCAAACTCTCTGAAGGCAGGAATCATGTCTCCTTTGTACACCACTGTAAACCCAGCTCTAAACAACATCTTAAAGAGAAAAATAGTTCCATTAGTGGGAATGCTCTTATTTCTAAATATTCTACCAAGCTCTGTTCCTCTCTTCTGCACACCATGTCCCTCTCTGCACCTGGCTAGAATGCCCTCTCTTTAACCTTGTATTCAGCCTTCAAGGTCTGATTAAAAATCCCTTTCCTCCAGGAAGCTTTTCAAAAATGACTTAGTCATTTAGTCAGCCCCAAAAAGCACCAGAGCTTACAGTCTGTGCTAACTTAAGGTGCATTTATTTTTTTATATAAATGTCTCAGCTATTTTAATCAAAGCTCCCTAAGGGTAAGAGGGAAGCCACTCAATTATAGTACCTCCTTTTCCAAATCTCTCTGCATTTTCAGCACTCAACAAACGTTATCTGTTTAACCAACTACTGCTTCCTGTCATCAACATGTCAACTCAAAAGTGTTGTCTTTTCTGAATGACCCATAGTCTCAAAAGAACACTAGGATGGGATGAGAAACCTAACCCGACTAACTACTAACTGCATGACCCAAGGCATGTTACACTCTCACTATAAGTTTCCATTTCTATAAATGCTAGGCCCCACTCACAGATAGACTTATCATGAGGATCAAATAAGATGATTCTGACTAGGCAAGGATGCCCACTATCACCTCTTTTATTCAATATTGTTTTGGAAGTCTTAGCAATAGCAATAAGACAAGAGAAGGGAATAAAAGGTA